AAAGGAAAAAGCCTTGTGCAAAAACTGTATGTGCCTGATTTGAGAAGCTATGAATATGGCCCGCTTTAAGCTAGTTGAATATCTACTGTAGACCACAAATGTTTGACGGTAGTTAACTCCATTATTATGCTCAAGCTGTCATTTACTGTTGCGGTTATCAAAAGGTTGGCTTACAGAGAAAGATAGTTGATTAATTTTTTGTAAACTGCTGCTCAAGAATGCTACTGTTTCATATCCAAATACTCAATGTAAGTAAGTAAGTTTTTATTTATATATCCGCCTTTTCACTGCAGATCTGAGTTTTCTCAAAGCGGTTTACAATTGTTAATTTTTGGCATTTGGTCTCTCACTCCACACAGAGATGGGAGCGGGGCCGCCAGTACAGGAGGCACATGTCAGAACTATTGTACATATTTTTAGTGGTAGGGGAAACCGGAGTACCCGGAGGAAACCTACGCAGACACGGGGAGAACATGCAAACTCCACTCAGAAAGGCCCTGGTCCGACCGGGATTCGAACCCAGGACCTTCTTGCTGAGAGGCGAGAGTGCTATCCACTCAGCCACCGTGACGCTCAAGCATATATGACTGAAACAAAATAATAATAGTTAGACCAGTTTCAGCTTGATTCCCTAGAGTGCACTGAACTTAAACAATTATTCATCTCTTTCTTTCTTGATGTTGATCAAAATGGCAATACTTTTATTGGATATTTAATATTTTTTGTTGCTTTTTCAGCTCTGTCTTTGAACTTTTCTTCTTATATTTCCACAAACCCATTGGAGTTGAATTACAATGATGTCATCATAACTCTGCAACCAATTTAGTGCGGTTGGGCAAACTCAGTGTCGTGTTGAGTTCTGTGCTGCATATCTGTGTCAATCACTGCCTGCACCTATAGCCTTCCTCTCCCTCCACTAAAACCACATTTCCAAGCAGCTTGTTCCATCGCACTGCTTCGCAGGTCACACACATTCCCGCAAGCTGGCTCTTGTTTCAAGCACGAGGCTGGAGTAAAATCAATATTACATCTGTACTGAAGATTTTAGAGCACATAGCAGCTGCACTACCGACTAATTGTCCTTTGGCTAAATCGTATGACAGCCTTTATTGTGTTTGAAAAGGTCTCCTAATGTGGAACTGCAGGTATTTCCGCTTTGCCGTGACTTTGCAGTAGCAGAAATGCTTTAACTTAGTAAACTTCTCAGACACACAAGGGAATTCTGGGAATGTTTTGAAACCATACAAGATAAACCCAGATAAAAGGGGAAATTTTCTGTCTGAAATTATTCTCAACATAGTTGACTTGAGTCTTTTAGTTTTAGTATTTACTTGCTGCACTGCAATAGAAAATATTTCAAAGACATTTGAGGAAACAGCAGTTGCCTTCTCTGAATATCATGGCTCTCAAAAAAAATAAAAAACTTTAAAACACTATTATTGGCATAAATTCAGCTTACAATACTTAACTCCTAGCCTGGTCCTACCACTCATCGGTCTAAATTTATTTTTGTAAAAAGGCTCCTTTCCCACTAACGGAGCCCGTGGGGAGTAAGAGCCACTCCATCTTTGCCAGCAATGAATTTGATAAACATTCCTCTTGCTCCGGCTTCAATTTCTTGAACAGATTACTTTACTATCGCATTCAAGTAAAAAAAACTACAACCAGCAAATTCGGCACAAAACTTTTGATGTCACCGACACCTACCGCAACACCCGCCCTTCCGCTCGCTGAATGGTCGGATGGGATACGGACCGAGGTATCTGCAAACACTGGGATCAGACTCAGACACACCTGTGTGGGAATAATAATAATAATAATACATTTTATTTAAAAGCGCCTTTCAAAAACACCCAAGGACACTGTACAGGCATAATAAAAACATTTAAAAACAGGATAAACAGAATAAAACAGTAGTCAGGTGCAATATGGGATGGTGTGTGTGTGTGTGTGTGAGTTAGGAGGGTGTGTGTGTGCGTGTGTGTTAGGTGTGTGTGTGTGTGTGTGTGTGAGTTAGGAGGGTGTGTGTGTGTGGGTAGGACAGTCTGAACAGATGGGTTTTGAGTCGGGATTTGAAGAGTGGAAGAGAGTCAATGGTACGGAGGTCAGGGGGGAGAGAGTTCCAGAGCTGGGGGGCAGAGTGGCTGAAGGCTCTGTGTCCCACAGTGATGAGTCTGGCTGGGGGGACGGAGAGTGTGAGGGTGGAGGAGGAGCGGAGTGTGCGGGCAGGAATGTGAGGGTGGAGGAGGTCAGATAAGTACGGGGGGCCAGGTTGTGAAGTGCTTTGAAGGTGGTGAGGAGTATTTTGAAATTGATGCGCTGTTTGACAGGAAGCCAGTGGAGTTGTTGTAGTACGGGGGTGATGTGGTGAGCTGTGGGGGTCCGGGTGATGATACGAGCTGCAGAGTTTTGGAGGAGCTGCAGTTTCTGGAGGGATTTGTTGGGGAGGCCGAAGAGAAGTGAGTTGCAGTAGTCAATCCTTGAGGTGACGAGGCTGTGGACGAGGATGGCGGTGGTGTGGGGGGTGAGAGAGGGGCGGAGACGAGAGATATTGCGCAGGTGGAAGTAGGCAGACCGAGTGATGTTATTGATGTGGGATTGGAAGGAGAGTGAACTGTCGAGGATGACACCCAGGCTCTTGACTTGAGGGGAGGGGAGGACAGATGTGTTATGGATGGAGATTGAGAAGCTGGTAGATTTGGAGAGAGTGGAGGGGGTGCCTATGAGAAGGACTTCAGTTTTTGAGCTATTGAGTTTGAGAAAGTTGGAAGAGAACCAGGAATGAATTTCTTGTAGACAGAGGGTGAGGGAGGATGGAGGGAGAGAGGAACATGGTTTAGTGGAGAGGTAGAGCTGGGTGTCATCCGCGTAGCAGTGGAAGTGAATGTTGTGACGGCGGAGGATGTGACCGAGTGGGAGAATATAGATGATGAAGAGGAGGGGCCCCAGGACAGAGCCCTGGGGCACACCAGCAGAGACAGGAAAAGTGCGGGATTTGTGGGATTTGAGATGAATGAACTGTGAGCGACCAGAAAGATAGGAGGTGAACCAGGCGAGGGGGGTGTGGGTGATGCCGATGGAGGAGAGTCTGTTCAGGAGGGTGGAGTGAGAAATGGTGTCAAAAGCTGCAGTGAGGTCCAGAAGGATGAGGATGGAGAGTAAACCGGAGTCAGAGGCTATGAGGAGATCGTTAGTGATTTTTAGAAGAGCTGTTTCGGTGCTGTGGAGGGGACGGAAACCAGACTGAAATTGTTCGTAGATGTTGTTGGTGGTGAGGTGGTTGTGGAGTTGAGCAGCGACAGATTTTTCAAGTATTTTGGAGATGAAGGGAAGGTTTGAGATGGGACGGAGGTTGTTGAAGTTGGTTGGATCCAGGCCAGGTTTTTTGAGAATGGGTGAGACTGAGGCGGTTTTGAATGAGAGAGGGACAGTACCAGAGGTGAGAGATGAATGAATGATATTAGTGATAAGGGGGGCAGCTGAGGGGAGGCAGGATTTGACCAGAACGGTAGGGAGAGGGTCGAGCTGAGAGGTAGAAGGTTTGGATTTAATGATAAAGTCGGAGATGGCTTGGACGGAGGGCAAGATGAAGCTGGAGAATGTGGCTATGAGGGATGAGTAGGGGGCTGGGGGGTCCACTCCAGAGACTGCAGCTCCATGCGGGGTCAGGTGTTGGTGAATGTCAGAGATCTTGGAGGTAAAGAAGGACATGAGTGAGTTACAGAAGTCAGTGGATTGCATATGGTGAGGGAGGGAGTCAGGGGGTTTGGTTATATTGGTGAGAAGAGAGAAGAGAGTTTTGGAGTTTTGATGATTGGAGTGGATTAAACCGGAGTAGTAGGTGGATTTGGCAGCAGAGAGATGGTCCTTGTATAGCATGATGTGGTTATTGTACATTTGTTTGTGAATGGTGAGTCCAGTTTTATTGAAGAGCCGTTCAAGTTGACGTCCTTGGGATTTGAGCTGACGGAGGGCAGGGGTGAACCAGGGTGCTGAGAGCGTGAAAGAGACGGGTCGGGTTTTGAGAGGAGCATGATTGTTCAGGAGGTTATGGAGAGAAGTGTTGTAGTGGGAGACCAGGTCATCGGGGGAGTCATTGGGATCAGTAGTGGGGAGGTTATTGATATCTGAGGCGAAGGTGGCAGTGTTTATGTCCTGAATTTTACGGAAAGAAATGGTTCGGGGAAGGATGGTCTTGGAGAGGGTGAGGTTGATATTGAAGGTGATGAGCTTATGGTCTGTGTATGTGAGTGTGTGAGGTTTACAGTCAGTGGGAGTGAGACCAGAGCAGCAGATTAAATCCAAAATGTGACCTTTAGTGTGGGTGGGGAAATGAATGTGTTGTTGTAAACCAAAACTATCTAAACAGGAGGAGAAGTCTTTGGTGAGAGGGTTGCTATTATTGTCCATGTGAATGTTGAAGTCCCCAAGTATGACTGCGTTATGAGAGATAGATGAGAAGTGTGTTAGAAGGTGAGAAAAGTCATTTAAAAAGTCCTGATTAAGTTTTGGCGGGCGGTAGATGGTGGCAACAACAGTAGGAGAAGGTCCAGGCAGCAGTGAGGCAGAGTACTCGAAGGAGGAGAAGACAGGGGCAGCAGGCACAGGTGTGACTTTCCAAGTCTCGCGGTGAAGCATCGCGAGACCTCCGCCCCGGCGGCCACAGCTGCGGGGCTGGCAGATGTAAACAAACCCCGGTGGAGTGGAGTCGTTCAACGCGGCAAAGTCATTTGGCTGCTGCCAGGTTTCGGTCAAACACAAGAAGTCCAGCTTACGGTCGACGAGGACATCCCGGACCAGATGGCCCTTGGTGTTGAGGGAGCGCACGTTGAGGAGACCGAAGCTGACGGTGGTGGAGCTGTTCTTGGCTGCCGCGGGCTGAGCCGATCGGGCCACGCTGACCAGGACACTGTCAGCGTCCCGACCAGCGGTGCGGGAGCAGCGGCGAGTGGTGGACCAGAGGGACTTTATTGAATGGGAGTCCTTGTATTGGAGCTTACGGCGTGATCCACGGTGAACGTACCGCCGCCGGGGCTGGAAGGCGATGCCCGGGGGGATGTCATGTCCGCGCTCCGGTGGCTGAAGAGGAGCGGGGACGTGGTGCCGAAGTTTTAAAAGTTCAGCAGCGGAGTACTGGAGGAGAGCATTGGCCTGCAGATGGACCAGGGACACGATGAGCCAGATGACAACAAGCCAGCGCGTTATATGGCAGACACACATCGTTTCCCAGGAGGGGAATACGACAGCCAGGGGTCCCAGGTATGAATATGTCCAAAATGCTTATGACAACAGCAAACTGTGGTTGATATCGAAAGCAGGTAAAACATCCTTAAAACACAACGTAACCACGACATCCAATATTGCGTAAACAATGTTTTAGTCCGTGTTTGTTCAGTGAGCAGCGGCTGCCAAAGCGCGCCAGCGTTCACTCACTGAACTCTCAATAATGATTGACTGGAGTTTACGGATGGCTAAAGCCAGGCTACTTCATTCTTATACTACATTGTTAAAATAGTAAGTAAGTAAGTAATCTTTATACCGCCTTTTCACTGCACATCGGAGTCTCAAAGCGGTTTACAATTGTGATTTTTGGGGTGGGGGCACATGCCAGACCTATTGTACATATTTTTAGTGGTAGGGGAAACCGGAGCAGCAGGAGGAAACCTACGCAGACACGGGGAGAACATGCAAACTCCACTCAGAAAGGCCCTGGTCCGACCAGGATTCGAACCCAGGACCTTCTTGCTGAGAGGCGAGAGTGCTATCCACTCAGCCACCGTGCCGCCCTAGTGAGCTGAATCATAAAAATGGTACACCGTAAAAATCCCCAAAGACTTTTACAATAGAGCATAATATAATGTGCGAGCATCATGAAAATGAGAAAGAAGGTTCAGCTTATTTCAAATGATATGAAGGGGGAACAACACAATCAAAGAGATTAAATATATTATAGATTTAGCTTGATGAGGCTATACTTCTTTTTTGGTTATTTCAACAACAACAAAATTCTATGTATTTTGAACACTTGAGGATAGCATTCAACACAATTAACGTGTTTGTCCTATAGCAAATCCATAGTATTCAATGTCAAAAATACTTTTTAAAGAAATCCAAGGTTTGGTCGGAAGCTCCGTTATACGAGGGAACGTGCAGCGTACTGCTCCCAAATGAGTCCCTATGGTCCCCCTACTCTATAACTGTAAGGTCACTATAAACCTTTTACAATTGGCTAACAATGTTGACTGTGTGCTGGGACTGTTTCTTTGGAAGCTTTTAGTGCTGTGTTGAAACGGATTGATCCAGACAGCGGTATTTTTACATGTGGAAAAAAGAAACAAGAGGCAGAGGAGATGGATTTCACAAGCTTCCTGACATGCCCACTGGGATCTGTCGTGTATGACTTTAGCCCTCGCAAAAGGTGAAGGGCAGTTAGGAGGGAAATAATGACCTGATGGTGTGTACGGGCAATTATGGAGATCACATGATTACAATCTCTGTATGTTCTTCAGCCTACAAGTCATTCAGTTTGCATCTAAAGTTGTGTGACTTGCAAAAGTATTCAGACCCTTTCTGGTGGAATCAAAGGTATTTTGACGTTGCCTGATGATTGATGACTAGTTAAATGTTGACCTAACTTAATAGCGTCCACCAGAGTGTAAACTAATAGGAAAAGTACACCTGTTTGGTAAGAGATTATTAGTCACTAAACAGCATCCTAAAGTCTAAAGAACGCATCACACAGATCAGGGATAAAGTTGGTGAGAACTTCAAAGCATGATTGAGTACTACAAAGATTTCTCATGCTTTGAACAACTCACAGAGCACTTATCCATCATGCTCGGACTAACTGCTCGAACGTGGTACTGTAGATATCCACAGCTCACCTGGGGGAATATGTTCAGGGAAAATATTAATCCTAGGCTACACAAATCTGGCCCTCATGGACAAGTGGCAAATTGAAAGTGAATCTTTAAATAAAGCCACAGGAAGCAAAGTGGGGGACATATCCACCATGAGACCAAAATGGAACTTTTGGTCCTAAATGCAAAACGCTGCATTTGGTGGAAAACTGCTCATCACTCTAGAGCATGGACTCCGAGGAACTTTCCTGGTTAACCAAAGGCCAATTCAAGTGAATTGGATATCAGGATGGTGCAGCATTGCGCATGCTTTGTGATAATTATAATCACAATATAATAATAAAGGGACTGACACATCACCACTGTTTTCAACTGGAGATGGACTTACTTATTTTAGGTTATAACTATGTATAATGAAAGAATAAAAGTGTGTCCCATAAATTCCCATTGTTTGCAATATGCCAGAGCATAAGGATAATTATGCAATTATTTGTTGCTTGTTTGGACAAGAGCACAACATTTCCTTCTGTAATTTCTCACCTCGAGGTGTCACCTTGTGTCTTTGCCTCTCTGCTAGCCCGCACCTGTGCTCCCCAGAAGCAATTATTATGATTCTCTGTTTTAACTACGTTCCAGCAACTTGCTCAAGTCTTTCACATCCTTTATTTTGTTTACACAATTAAATTGTTTTGCATTCATGTCAGGAAAAGTTTGTCAATATTTGCTTTGTGGAAACTTATTTCGCTAGTCAACTTGAACATGTTGTGTGATTAATCATGAGTCGGGTGCAGATGTCTTGGGGAACATGTGGTCAGTAGTGTGGGAACTCAGCTGGATGTAGTGGACGTCATGAATCTCCCGTTGTTGTTTGGATGTGAAAACAGAAAGATGACCGATGTAATATCCTCAGAGGCACCCAGAGCCAAGACAGCTGATCACGTTAAATAGATGGGCAGCTACAACAATATAACACCAAAGTTTGGGTTAAAGTAAATCATAATGCTTGCATTCCTTGGTAACAAGAGAGTCATTAGAGGGTACCACTACATTCAGCTGTTTGTGTATTTTTCTCACATGTTTATTTTGCTTCATTCTGTGCTCCATGTGCATTTTCTTCAAGCATTTAATGCACTGAAGTTTCTCAAGATTAAAGGTTACCTCTTTTGACACTACAGGTCAACAGGAAACTTCAAGAGTTTGGTGATACTTTTGCCGTGTCTAAGTGCCAGAACATTTATATTTGTTTAGTTACAGATTAAAAAGTGTGTGAGTGGCTTTAGGGCCCAGAGCAATAGGAAGTGGATATCTCCACGGAAACACAGCTCGGCAACACTATCTGTCAACTGTGACCTCAGGCTCATAATGGAGGGTCCCAGGAGCATTTTCATTCTTTACATTTACCTAATTCCTCAGCTGAGCTCCACCCTCTCAAACCCCTCATCAGGTTGTTCATTGATCACTTGTCACAGTCCTGTATCCTGCCACTAGCATTAGTGGTCTGGCATTAGCCTCAGTTTACAACATTGAAAACAGAATGTGTGAAGCACGCAGGAGCTGATAGCAGCTGTTTGCGCTGGATCTGTGACATGTTCACATGTTCCATTAGAGCTGCTCTCAGACCAGCGGAGTGACTGTGTCCAGATGTTGTTGGAGCAGCCGGCCCAAGCAAAGGGCCACGGCTCACAGATGAGAACATCTCGAACAATAAAAAAAAAACTATATAGAGCTCTTTTATCAGCACTCGGTTTAGGATTTTTAGAGATAGTGTTTTGTGATGCTGCCACGAAAGTCTCAAAGTGACACTTGAATAAAGTTAAATAGAGCAAATCAAGGTCTAGGGGATTGTTTGTTTTGATGATTGTGTCTGTATTTCTTGTGTGCTGTAAAAGCCTCTCTGTTGTGAAACAGGACACTGATTAGAGGCACATTACTGCTGCAGCTTTTGTCCAAAACACAAGCTGTGTTCTCAAGGGAAAGCATGTCTCCTTTAGGCGCTTCATGTAGAATCAAGCTGTTTTCACCTCTAGCTCATGACTCATGCTTTGTATGACTTCTCTGTTTAATATTAATTTATGAATTAAAATATGGGGTTCTGTTTCAACACATTTCATTGTTTCGACATCTTCAACATCAGAAAAGCCATTAATAATGGAGTTGAAGAAATTTTCAATATCAATCTTAAGTCAACAAACGTCACTGTCACTCGAATATGAAATATGGTCCTGCAATTAAACAAGACAGTCTAAATATATGTTTATGTCATCTGGGCCTAGTTAACACCAGTGTACTCTTGTGGTGCATGGCTCGGCTCTGATCTCACTGCTTTCTCCTCCTTCATCAGGCCACATGCACGTACAGTGAGGATACAGTGCCACATCACAGATAACGCCTTCTCTAATGGAAATAAATGATGCGGACGGGGGAAGTTTCAGTTCATGCAACATCGGATAAAGAACCTTATCTGGTATAGTATATGTGATGTGCTATCCTAAACACTTGAGTTAGCAGAATGTGTGCAGAACCTCTACTAAACGTCCAAAAACTCAACACACGGATGGGCCTGGGCTGGCACAGGAATCAAACCTGAAACCTTTTTGTTGAGAGGCTTGAGCGCTGTCCACTCTGTACAAAGATTATTATCACTTCAGCGACTCTGGCCTTTTGTTTGCACACAACAGGGTCATAACACAGTGTTGATTAGACAATTGTTTACGCCAATTGATAAATAATCACAAATAATTAATAAAAAAACCAAAATATTCTACTGCAGACATTTGACCCGACCCTATTGTGCTTAGAAAGGATTTTACCTTTGGAGATCTGTGCTCTTTTTTGTGTATTTTCATAATTTAACTTTTGCTGTTAAATGCCTTCACTCGAACTTATTATCCTGTCACAGCAAAGTGTCTATGGACCAGTGTGGTTTATCTGTTTCTAAATTCCTGATAAAAAATTCAACATTAGATCCAATTTTGGTGTGTCATCGCCCATGATATTAAGTAAGTAAGTAAGTAATGTTTATTTATATACCGCCTTTCACAGACCAGAGTCACAAAGCGGTTTACATTTATTATTTTTTGGGCACTTGTCTCTCACTCCACACAGAGATGGGAGCGGGGTCGCCGAACAGGAGGCGCATGCCAGACCTATTGTACATATTTTTAGTGGTAGGGGAAACCGGAGTACCCGGAGGAAACCTACGCAGACACGGGGAGAACATGCAAACTCCACTCAGAAAGGCCCTGGTCCGACCTGGATTCGAACCCAGGACCTTCTTGCTGAGAGGCGAGAGTGCTATCCACTCAGCCACCGTGCCGCCGTTATTAGCGCTGTCTGCTTGTGCTGAATAAACATACTGTG